GGCCCATTGTCCTCTAATTGAGAGAAGACTGCAATTTCCTCTGCCAGTCCCCATTTAAAAAAAAAAAGATAGGGGTTGAGTGAGTGTAGTCAAGTGTGGTCCTTCAGGGCACTCAACACCTCTACCCAAAAATGGACTTTTTTTTTTTTAAATATAAAAAAAACTGTTCTCCAAAATCCAAACAAAACTTCAGGCAAATCCCACTGAGGCTTGGCCTCAATTGTTATGTGGACTGCATATGCTAACAAAACAAAACCAAAAAAAACCCAACCTTCTGTTGGCATAAGCATTACTATTTACTTAGAACAGGATACAGACTAACACGGTTGCTACTCTGAAACCTGTCACTATTTACTTAGTATCACATTTAGAACCTTCTTAAAATTACTACAGCATGAAAGGCTAATTGCTTAATCTAGTTACACTGCACAACAGTAGATCTGCTCACCAAATGCAGCATGTGATAAAGAGAATCACAGGACCTCTCCATGCCTTTGTTCCTGGGTTTACGTTTAACTCTCCAAAAAGCTGACATCATTGGAAAGATATTGTTGTTACTCAGCATTTTCATTTTCAGTAACAAATACACTTAAAAAAAAAAATCCACATTCTTTCCATATTCAGCTGATCTGAAATTCTTTCCTGCTCCAGACAAGTGTTCTTTCCTCATATTCCATGCTGCTTAATTGAGTCACAAGCACAGAAAACACCCTCCCCTGTATTTTAATGAGAGGGCAGCTACTGCACTTCTGCAAGACTCTGCTCCTGTGTCATTTGCTGTAGGTCTCGTTCTTTCAATAGATCAATGAGAATTTAATTCTCAGCTCTAACTAGTGAAGTCACTTCTGAAGACTCCCTTTCATGAAACGGTCATATGAGAACTCCTGCAAGAAATGGCTGAAACGTGCAGAGGGGAAGCTGACAGTGGAATATAAATGTCTATTGCCTGTGGATTAGTATCAGCTGATTGGCTGCAACCTGTACTGCATAAGATTATTAAACATCAGGGCAGACAGTACACACCAATTAGACAACTTTAAAAAGCCAGTTAGATTCTTGGAAAACCTTAAAGTTGCTTTTTAAGAAATCCCCATTTTAATCCTTTTACCTCAACTTCTACATGTGTTGAGGGATTTGTATCAATAGATAATTTTGGTTTTCATTAACACTGCAAAAGAAGATTCATCTTCACAGAACACGTTCGATAAATGACATGCACACAGAGTCATTAGTGCATGGTACCTTAAGCACAGCTGCAAGGTAATTAGTTTTAATTTCAAGAGACAGGTCTTAAATTAGAAAAAAGGAAATGAACATCCAGTAGCATTTCAACTCATTAGATTTTTAAACATCCACAAGTGGGAAATGTGGCAGATCACTAAACAAAGCGCCACTGACCTGATCACCACAGTAAATGTGTCATGATGGCTACAATGTGCAAAATACTTAAGCTTTTGTTGCTGTGCGATATTGAGAACCTGCCTCTACATGTTTTAACCTCCAGACCAAGGGTGTTAAATTAGCACACTTTAAGCAAATAAGGAGATAATTACTAAGGCTAGTTTTTGTTAAATAAAACTTACACTAGTAAGTCAGCTACATGGTATCCTGTTAAACTAGAGATGGATGACTGACAAAGATGTTACTGGTTTAAATTCTCATACTGATCTTGGATTAGAAATTGAGGCTATGTCTACACTATAGACCTCACAGTGGCACAACTGTACAGCGGCAGCTCTGCTGCCCGTAAGGTCGCCTGTGTAGCCACTCTCTGCCGACAGGAGAGAGCTCTACTGCCGGCATAAGAAAACCACCCCCAACAAGTGGCGGTAGCTATGCCAGCAGGAGAGCAGCCACCAATGTAGCACTGTCCATACTGACACTTTTGTCAGTGAAACGTATATCACGGGAGGGTTCCCACATCCCTGACTGACAAAAAGGGTTTGCCAACAAATGTGCTCATGTAGACAGTCTATAAATGTGCACAACCCACTGAAATTCAAAGGAGTTTGGCTTAGAGGGGCTGTGGCCTGTCTCTAGTGCAACTTTTGTTAAAAATATAAGCATAAGAGCTTGCCGATATTTACATGTTTACAACTGAGAGATACTGAGCTCACTAAAAGTCAGCTGTACATGGGCTGCTTTAACTTTTAAAAGAAAGAAGAGTGATTAGAATCTCAAAAAAACAACCTAGAGATTAAAACCACCAGACCTATCAGTCAATTCCCTCTTCCTATGCAGGATTGTTTTTATAATGTATTTTCTAATGCTTTATCTAGCACAATTTTAAGACATCCCATCTCTTGCTGTTTACAGCGGGATAATTCCATTGAAATAATGAGGTTTTGTTCTAATGCGTCCCAATTTAATGGAGACCTGCTTAGGAAATGGCAAATAAATAAAAATAAATAATAAATAAAAAAACCTTGTGTCTTTCCCCTCTTCTTTGTGATATATGAAAGGAGCCTAGAAGTTTCTCCTGCTTGTTTTTTCCATTCAAAATTCACACCTGGCATACTCTGGAACTATTTTAATATCATCAGGAAAAAACATACTGTCTAAAGGTTAGAAAACAAGGGGTGAGAGGTTGCTGGGGGTGGGGGGGAAGCTGGCAACAGCAGGGGGGACTCTCAGGTCTACTTTATCAAGTCAGATAAGTAACAAGGGAACAAGCTCAAGTTTTGCAGAATTCTTTGCAGGTTACAGCCATGCCTCTCATAGTAGCCATGCTCAAATAGCATCTCCACTGACCACTGCCTTCAAACTCTTTCCTCTCCCCACTTCCTCCAGGTGCATTTCACTGTGTACAGAGATAGTCAGTGCAAGTTAAGGCTGATGATGTGAGCATGATTCATAATCTCAGTAGGGTTGGAAGGAGGTGGCAATAGCATGGAGAAGACACCTTTTCTTGCATTACCCTGCAAATGACTTCCAGGGGATTTTAGGAGTATGACGTGTGGTGAGGGTACCTTCATAGAGGAGATTAGCTGACGGTAGAGTCTGTTAATTAAATGCCCAGTGATACAGAAGACATTTTAAAGCAAAGCACAACTATAAAGAGGAATTAGGAACAGAAGTCACAGCCGCCTTTCCAGTGCAGCTTCTTAAGCTACACATTTACTAGCATTCTCTCTGGCTTTAACAGAACTATTTTTAAATTTTGTTGAAATTCAAGAGCATGGGAGAATTGTAAAGAATACAGAGTTGTTCTATATATAAAACAGGGAAAGTAGAGTTAGCAAGTTAAAAGATATATTTGTTGTCACTATAAATATATTCTGTATTGAAAACACACACACATCCCTCCCGGCCTTTTGATTCAAGACTAAAAAAAAGTTTAAGGAGAAAAAACAAAACAAAACACTGAACTCAAAAATTCTCCCCCATGAATCACGTAAGTTATGTATAATGAGAGGCTTCTTCAAAGATGCATTTTCTAATATTTGGAAATGTGTAAAACAGGTGATAATGTTTCATTGACACAAAATGAAATTTCCACCTCATTGAAAGTCTGCACTCATTAAATGTACAAGCTGATCATACAGTTCATATACTTTGCTTTAGACAGCTGACTGTTCACAGAAGCAAAGTGTGAAATGGGACATCGCAGCCTCTTACATAATTCATACATAAAACTTTTAAAAGCTACAGAAAAACCAACCACAGCAAGAGTATCCCTAGCCAAGTTAGCAATAGATACTATTAATATGTGGACCGTTTTTCTGTAAAGAAACATTCATTTCAGACCTCCTTACAAATCATGCAGGTATCCACACTTAAATTTTAAATAAATAAATAAATAAATAAATAAATGTCCACACACATTAGTACTTCCCCCACTTTTGAAAAATATAAATTTTATACTTACTATAAAATGATTCCCTAGGAAAATCTAGAGACGAAGTTTAAAGATAATCTTCTGCTTTACATACAAGTTCTGTGTATGTTTCATGCATGGGAATGCTTTCTCCTATCTATCAAAGGAAAGGCTACAAGCTAGTATGACATAAGGGATCAGGAAACAAGAGGCCAGGGGCTTTTTCCTTCCTTTCAACTATGATAATCTAATAGTGGTATTTGGGGGATTGGTTTATGACTCACCAAGACACATTTTCAACTAAAACAAAATGATGGGAAACCACAGAAATAGATATAGAGAGAGTAAGCAAGCGAATGAGCACGGGGAGGAGCCACAGAGACGCAATGAGATCAGTCCTACATAGTCTATACTCACTGCACAGTGAATTCTGTAGAGCTTGGGTTACTAACGCAGCATCAATTATGCAGCAAGTACTTAAAATATAACAGCCAGCCAGCCCTTTTAAAGTAATCTTACCATATGTACTTGATTCAGCTTCAGAGAACACTAATCTCCACAGATCATTTTGTGCAGTATTCACGATTACCAAAGCTAGAACAAACTACCAAACCATGCCAGAACTCATCCCTTAATAGACAGCAATTAGCAATCTATTTATGCAGCCTGTTAACTATAATTGGAGAGTTCTGTTTTAATCAAAGGTAGATTGGCTGTAATTAGTTTTGCATTTAAGCTGCTAACATGCAAACTATACTATTGATTTAAGGCAATAATATAACTTTTGTGCTTCACACCTTTGGAAGTTACTAAAGAGAAAAGGGGAGGAAAATGTGACAAATCAATCTGGAAATGCATTCAGCTCACCTGCCCAAGGGGAGGAAGTGATAGAGTTGCTATATTTTAATATGTGAAAGCATTATCACACACCACAGAAGATCAGAACCAGGTCTACTCTTTACCCCTCATGGATCCAGAACACAGCTCTTACTCAACAGGTGTTGATGTGCTGTAATCAAGGCTGTAATTTGTTACACTCTGTATCACTTGTAAACACCTTAAAAGTAAGATCAACATTTTCCTAGGGAAGATGCTCTAATCATGCACAGCTGTGAAGTCAGCATGTCAGCTGTGACTCTACTGCACCTTAGGGCTTTGTAATGTGAAAATGAAAATCTCTCACCTTGCTCATCCTATCTGTCTCATCAGAGGTCTCCAAATCAGGCACTTCTGCTTCTTCTGGAGCTGCCTCAGCACTGCTTTCTTGTTCGCTGAAGAGCGTGTGCCCTGCCAAAATTGACATGTATGTGGAAACAAAATAGTGGGTTATGCAAAATGTGAAAAGTTTAGAGCAGTGAATAATGAGCTTTCATGAACATTCAGATTCTCATCCTGCAATGAGCTCAGCAGGCGTCTGTGCCAGTGGTTCCTTGGATGCACAGGGGCCTAGCAGCATTCAGCTCACTGCAGGAGCAGGGCCTAAACAGGGATTTGAGCACAAAGGTTTCATGGCCACATATGAAATTTGATTGAACTATAAACACTAATCACATAATGTTATGGGCCTGACTGAAGTTAGAAGCCACAAAAGTTGATGCAGAGTTAAGGCCAAGTTCCATGTTGAGATTAGGTTTTATAAAGCTCCAAAGGCCCTACAAAGGCCTGTGCTTAACTTTATACTCGAGCAATTCCACTGAGCTCATTGTGACTACTCATGTAAAGTTGAGTGCATCTTTCCAGGATCAAGGCCTTAGTTAACATTTCCTCCACACAGCCTTATATTGGAAGAGTTTAATAAATTACAGTTTATTGTTTTACATTAAGTTTTTCTTTTAATGTTAGAATCAAAAATACTTTTACAGGGATTTTTTAAGTTATACTATTAATTGACAATTGCATCTTTCTGTATGCAATATACTAAAGTAACTGCATTAATCTATATCTTGGCAGTCTAAGAACTACATTTCTGATACAACAGCCCATAAAGATTCCTTTGCAGGTACTGCCCAAGACCACGAACTCTTAAGCACATGCGTAATTTTTGCACACAAGTAGTCCCACTGAAGTCAGTAGGACTACTCATATACTTAAAGAAATGTGTGCCTTTGACTCACGCAGCTGTGAGTAGAAATGTAAGTAAACATGTCTTAGGCCTCTGGGAAAGCCAAATTTTACATACGTTAGCTTTCTAGCTATCTAACAGGGGAATGAACAGTTACGGTGTTCTAACTGGAGGGGAGAATGGAGGCGTACCAGAAGTTTCCTCCTTAAGAAGATTATTCGTATATGACATTCATGGATCTCACGTAAATCTAAAGGCAACTCATTTGCTTTTCAGAAGCACCTTTATGAGCCTGGCATAAAAACTATCCCTAACAGGAATAATTTAACAGTATTCAGCGAGGCAATGAACGGCACCAGAGACAGGAAAATTTTTCCAGATCCCAAGTCAATTTGAGTGCTGCTGCACTCGAATTTTGTGCCAGACTAAACAGACACTCCAGAGAAGCTGAGTATTTGTGTCTAGATTTTAACTTTTTTTCCCATTAACTCATAACTACAAGTTCATTCAAGGTTGTCACAATCCTGCAAATCCGATGAACATGGACAGACCCCCGTTGTCTGCACTGAGCCCCATTAATATCAGCAGTGTGCCGCACAGGTGCAAGGATCCACCTGCATGAATTGGGGCTACTATTTATATGTAGTCTGTATTGTTCTTTATAGCATATGGGTTTTTACATTATATAAGTTACCTAAAGAATACTCTATCAATAAGCAATGAAACAACAACAAAGAATAACAAAGGAAGAAAAAAACCTTGTGAATATCCCATGTTAGCCTTTTTGTGTGTGTGGCATTAGTAATCCAGTTTTTAACCTTTCAGCAGTCCGACAAAAAATTATGCTCTAGTTATATGCAACATGCTGGAAAAACCTATTATCTATTTCTTTGATCCCAAAGGGGATATGAGCAGCTCTCTTAAATTACGAGGTATTTTCTGTAAGATGTTTCGATTTATGTAGGTCACAGTTTTCTTCTATATAAATTAGCATTTGATAATGTTTTCAGCCTAGACCAATATTGGCACTATTGTAGCTCTCATGTTGTAAATAAGAAAACAACAGAAAGCACATACCAATTACAAAACAGATTTATGCCGTTGATATTTCTCAGCTGTATTCAGTGGGGTTTTGAGTGAAAAGATTATGGGTGACTGTTTGGGTGTTCTGATTCAGAGTGAATGGCAAGCCATTGTAGTGATTAGTGTGCTCAAAATCTCCCCTGTCAAGTCTATTGCTTTATTCTGTGGGTGTACTGAAGTGGAATTCATTATTATATCTGGAAATAGAGATGTATTTTAAGAAATTTACTAGACATATCAGAAAATTCAATTCTGCTGGCCCTTCACTGAAGTTCACAGAAAGTTAAAGTTAGTACAGTTGCTATTATGAGTGTTTTGCTAAAAAAATAAAGTTGGGCCAGGAAGGCATGTTAGGGCAGGCTTTCTAGTTCTCATTTGAAGACAATTCATACTTGACTTTGGGCCTGGGTTCAAAAGTGCCAAAATCTCATCAAAACATCTCTCAAGCTTTTAGCCACAACCGGCAAAAACTTTGCAAGATCTTGCAAGATTTTCCCCATCCTGAGTTACATCTGAACCAAATTCAGAAAACGTGACCCTGCTGATTTGGCTCCAACTTGCACCAACCTGTAGAAACCAGTACAGAGCTGAGTGACCTTTGAATTAAAATATTCAAAAATAGCAGAGAGGAGGTTCATATGGGAGGTTCCCATGGAGGCCTATCTCCATTGTGCTGAAAAATCTAAGATCTCGATCTTGACAAGGTCTGGTTTAATGGGTTAAGATAGATGATAATGAAATGCATTTGTGGAAGTGTTTGGTTTCTAAGAAATTAAATCTGTGCTGAACCTCTCATTTCTACAGTTTAGTCCATCAACTTTTCTTACTTTCCGACACCTTTACTAATATCTAGCAAAACTCTCAAATCCCCTTAAATGTCCATTTAAAAAAAGGGAAATGTGCAGAATATCATGAGTTTGGCGTGAGCAGCCTCTGTTTGTCCCCTACGATTAATTATCCATTTTAAGCAGTGTGAAATGCAGCCCACAATTATGTCTCAGCCTAAGCCAATGAACAGCATGCCTTTTATAGTTATCAGGGCTTCTTTTCCTGTTACTAGTCAGACACCTCTTTAATCTACTTCCTGCAGTATAAACACTCCTACCCAATACAGACAGCAATCTTTCACTTACATCTTAATGAACAGTCACACAATGCATGTTCTGCATTGTTCTTTCACACAACAGTCTTAGGCTGTCAAACTCAGTGTCTCTTTAATAGGGTTATCTGCTGGTAGTTATACTTTGCCACTGAACTCAGTAAAGTTGAATGTTCTTACAATATCTATTTAAATACATTGCAGTTACTGTCCCCTTACTGTTGGTTCATTGCATGGTTTTATTCATAGCTAAATAAAGATTTTCAGGATATTAATGGAGCTCTATAAGGACAATGTACTAAGTTCTCTTTTGCTGTAACTGGAGACAGTCTAGGCATATACAACTTGTTAATGAAGATGGCAAAGTGGCTTCACTTTTTATGAAGGAATTAGAAAGAGAAATTCAGAAAACAGCAAAGGGGCAGCAAGGTAGCTAAGAACATGTCTCACTTGATAGCTCAGTGGTTTAAGCACATGAGTAATCCCATTAAGATCCACAGGACTGCTCTGATGCTTAAAAGTTGGGCATGTGCTCAAGTATCTTGCCAAACCAGGGTAACAATGACCACAAAAATAGCTGTCCTTTTTAGGAGTGCTTGTAAGAGATTTCGCTCTGTTGTTTGTTTTACCCGATGCATAAGAAGAGTTTGGTTTTAAAAAAATTAAATTAAAGGGAAACTGTCCAGGTCCAGGTCCAGGTCCAGCACCGAATTCTCATACCTACAGTAGAACCTCAAAGATACGAACACCAGAGTTATGGACTGACTGGTCAACCGGACAACTTCCGGTTCCAGAGGGTATCAGGTAGCAGCAGAGACAAAAAAAAAAAAAAAAAAAAAAGGGGGGGGGGAGGGGAGGAAGGGCGGCAAATATTTTACTGCCTCAGGGCTTCAGCCCTGGGGCTCAGGGCTTCAGCCAGGTTGGGGGCTAAGGCTGCAGTCACAGGGTGAGGGGGGTCAGGGCTCCGGGCAGGGGGTGGAAGTCAGGGCTTCTTTCCCTTGGGAGCACTGGGGCTCAGGGCTTCGGCCCTGCGGGGGGTGCTGGGGGTTTGGGGCTTTAGCTATAAGGGGAGTGCTGGTTTCAGCCCTAGCATTCCCACCACAGCTAAAGCCCCAAGCCCTGGTGCACCCCCCAACCCCAGCTGAAACTGGGGTTGGAGCCGTGGGCAGCCCTGAGCCCCAGTGCCCCTCACAGGGCAAAAGCCACGAATGAAGCTGTGGGGCTGAAGCCCCAAGCCGCAGTGCTTACCCCAGATCTAAAGCCCTGAGCCCTGGTGCTCACAGGGTCAGAAGCAGTGGTGAGCTGTAGCCGGTTCGCACCGGTTCGCAAGAACCGGTTGCTAAATTTAGAAGCCAGTGTAGAACTGGTTCCTAAAAGGGCGGGCAAACTACGGTCCGCGGGCCACATCCGGCCTGAGGGACCGTCCTGTCTGGCCCACTTGCGCTCCCAGATGAGGAGGCCAAGGCTCCCCCGGCCCCTCCCCCATTACAACCCCCTCTTGCAGAGCCGCCGGAGCCCTGGGGGAAGTGGCGGGACTCCAGCAGCTATTTAAAGGACAGGGGTGGCAGAGGCAGCTGGAGCCCTGGCCCTTTAAATAGTCCCTGGAGCACGCCGCTACCCCAGGACTCGGGGGCTATTTAAAGGGCCGGGCCTCTCCTACTTCTATCGCTCCGGCCCTTTAAATAGCCGCCGGAGCCCTGGGGTAGCGGCGGTGGGGCTCCGGCGGCTATTTAAAGGGCCGGGGCGATAGAAGCAGCGGGAGCCCTGGACTTTTTAAATAGCCCCCAGAGCCCCGCAGCCCTACCCCAGGGCTCCAGCAGTGGGGCTCTGGTGGCAATTTAAAGGGCCTGGGGCTCCAGCCTTTAAATTGCCCCCCTGGGGAAGCCGGGCCACCCCGGTATGACGCACCAGCTTACTTTCACTTCTGGGTAAGGGGGTGGGGCTGCGCAGCATCCTTACACAGCAGCATGGTAATGGGGCCAGCTGGGCCTGGGAGGAGGGGCTGGATAAGGGGTAGGAAGCAGTTGGAGTGAGTGGAGGTTATGGGGAGATGGTCAAGGGATGGGGAACGGGGGGGGGGGTGTTGGGTAGGCGTGGGAGTCCCAGGGGTCTGTCGGGGTGGTGGATGATGGGGTTCGGGCAGTCAGGGGACAGGTAGTGGGGCGAGTTGGGTAGGGTGCAGGGTCCTGGGGGGGGCAGTAAGGGTGGGGGGGGTCTTGGGAGGGGGTGGTCAGGGGGACAAGGGGGGGGGGTTGATGGGTTGTGGGTTCTGAGGGGGGCAGGACATGGGTTGGGGTCGGACGGGTGGGTGGCGGAGAGGAGACAGGCATGTGGGGCTTGTACTCACCGCGCGGTTCCCTACTGGGTCTTTGGTGGCACTTCGGCGGCGGGTCCTTCACTTGCTCCAGGTGAAGGACCTGCTGCCAAAAACCCAGAGCGAGTGAAGATCCCTCTGCCACCGAAGTGCCGCCGAGGACCTGGTAGGGAACCGGTTCTTAGGATTTTGGGAGCTCATCACTGGTCAGAAGCCCTGACCCTGCCCAAAGCCCCAACTCTCCCTCTCCCCCCCAGCCCCATGGCAGAAGTCCGTAATGTTCAGAGTTATGGACAACCTCCATTCCTGAGGTGTCGGTAACTCTGAGGTTCTACTGTAATGCTAACTAATAAGCATGGAGCCAGAAGGGGGAGTGATAACACCACATGCACACTCAGATGATCTGTATATCCATAATAAAGCTGTTGAGATTTTACAGAAAAAAATGGTAATTTTTAAGTGGGTCCTGGAGCTTTACAGTCTAAAAACTGAAGTGTTAACAATGCTGCTTTCTAACAGGTTAAAAAGCAGTACAACTGGATACATGAAGGGTTTCGGAAGACTGAAGAACAAAAATTCTAAACACAGCTGGCAGACACAGACCAAATCACCAGAAACTTCCTTTGAAATTGTATGTTCACAATGTTTAACATCATAAGGGTTGTAACAGTAATAGTGATCTGTTCCTCTGGCTCTTCACTTCTTTACCTGGTCCCTGCGTAATGGGCAAAATCTTCAGATTATCATCCTGTAAGTCCTATTGAAACTTTAAGACCATGGTAAAGAACCAGTAAAGGTATTTTAAACATGCTACATGACACCTCAAATTAGAAGTCTGCCTCACAAAAATAAACCAGACAAAACTAAGGTCACTGTTGCTCTGAAATCCAAATTTACTTGCTCTGGGGAATCAGCAAGAGAAGAAGACAGAAAGAAAAAAAAATGGAGATTCTTATAATGCAGTGAACAGTTTGTTTGTTTTTACAACATATGAATCTTTCAGATCCTAGGGTAACCTGCTCTGGTTTTCCTGCTCGCAGAGTGCCAAATCACAGACTGCTCAGGAACACTTAACTGGTTCATAAATAGAAAATGAATGTATTCATTCAAAATAATGATATACCTGTTTTACCCCCTATACCACATGAAGTGATCTGTAAGGCTCTTAGTTGTCCCTGTATTTTGCATAGTATGTTCTATGTCTTCCGATGCTGTAATCTCATACAGAACAAGAATATTTAGAGCCTCACCCCCAAAATCTAGTACATGAAGAAGTAGCTCACATATCTCCACATGGAGGCCATATGGTTTCACTATGCAGAAGAGAAGTCGGGAATGCCTCAAGAAATTATGGATAAAAAATAACCTTTTACTATGTTACTAACCTAGTGGCAATGCTCTATGCTGAGTTTTGGGAGACCTACCTCTGGATTTCTAGTCCCCATTCTCTCACTCCCTGGACTGGATGAAGTTGTGTGTTGTAGACTAGAGGCAAGACACTATTCTTGGGGAAGGGAGAGGGCCTTGAGTGGTCATTTTAGCTAATTACGGGGAAAATGTTGAGGGTCTCCAGAGGGAGTTCTAGCATGTAAAGTGCTTATCAAGCAAAATTATAATGGCTGTGTTGGGGGAATAGAAGATTAAAACCTGGGAGAAAATTAAAAGGTGAGAGGAGGAAATCTTTGTGGTTTTGTAACAGGCACATATTTTCCCCTGAGAGGTTCTATATGCCTCTTCTTCACCTTGCTATACATCAAAATCTTAGTAGTTAGCCTAATTAATCACAAAAGAAACAAGAGTGGCTAAGAGCCAGTGGGTCCAACGGGGTTTAAATTGCTGGAATTTTGGTTTGGTTTTCTATTAACCCCCCTCCTCCAAACACACACCAGTAAAAAAATATCCAATATCAACATTTTTAAAGGCTTCCTAAAAGGATCAGAATCTAAAATATTGACCCAATAAACAGAATTATCTACCAAAGCTCCTTTGGTAAAAATTCCATCCCACACTCTCTGCATGACATGCAGCAAATTGCTCCAGTAAAGTATAGCGTCTAAAGCCACATAAACATAATGGTCCAGCCAGATCCTGAGCCCAATAATGTTAAACTGCAGTGTTAGGTGGATTTTCTTTTAGCTCAGTACAGAAATATAAGTGTACATGCTATAAGTAAAGCATGTGATAGAAACCACTGAGCTGATTTATCCAGCCAGCCAAGCTGGCAGTAATCAGCTAGGATACAAATAAATAGGTCAATGGGTATTTCACACTTGATTGCTTTGGACAAGAAGTCACAGAGCTGAAACCAAAAATCTGAGACACAGCTACAATCCCAGATATAATAATAAAAGGTACCTCTATTTAACTTACATTTCAATCCAGTTTCAGATAGTAAAAACCGAATAATGCACAGGGGCTAGGAGAATAAGAGCTTTGGAAAAACCTTTTATACTTTCTTCCACTGATGTCTAAAGAGATGGAAAGTGATGGAGGAGATCTAAATGCTTGCCTCCAAACCTCAACCTTTGAAGTAGGTCCCAAACCCTATTCCCGCTTTAATCTAAAATCTTCCCAATTAGAACGTGTGTGTTGTTCAGTTTTAAACATTTTTAACACCATGCTTTAGATGCATATGGCAATTGCAAGCACTTTAACAAGGTAAAATTGTGTTACTGAAACTTCTGTAAGCACCTCTGAACCATCTGCTGAAATGCTATTTTATTGTTTCCTCCAATTTAAATTGAGATATTCCTACTCTTCCTTCAGCAACAGTGAAATAAAGGGAAAACCATACTCACCTCCCCAATTTTCCTGCTATGGGGAAAAAATTCTGACAACAAGGTTTTAGCCTTCCCTATGACCTATAAGCCCTGCACTGGAAGGGTAGTAACTTACTCAAACTGGGATCAAGATGCTCTTACCTCAAGAAAGAAAATTAAGTGATTTTATATGTGTAAGGGTGACATCTTGTGGCCAAATATCAAAATCCCAGGTATGGAGTTTACGATTATTCCCACCTCATCCTCACAACTGCTTTTTAAAAGCAATCATTCAACTACTATTGATGCCTGTTCGTGTTCTATCTGCTAGCTAACAATTTCAAACATGGTCAGTTTTTAGGAGCCTTCTTTCATGTTTGCCTTCTTCAGAGCAGGAAAAGGAGAAAAAAGAAAATAAAAAACCACTCCATTTTATGTTATTCTGACCACATTTTTAAATGAACTTCTGAAAAAATAAATCAAACAAATAAACACACTTAAGAGTGTCTTTTGTTTTGGGGTATTCACATATTTAAAAAGCCAAACAAAAACTCACACATTTCTCTGACCAAATATCTACCAAATCACTACCGAGCCAGGGAATTTGTGGTTGCAATTTAATGTAACCACAGGTCACATCATAAATTCCCAAGCTCCTGTTGATAATCTAACCACGATGTTTAGGGCTTGATTCTCATCTCACGCAGGTGTAAATCAGGAATAACTCCACTGTGGTCAATGGAGTTACACTGATGTATATTGGAACCAAAGTGAACCCATTTTATGTTAATTTCCTGAATGGACATTGTTACCTTGGTTACTGCCGCTATACATCAGTGCACTGTCACTCAAGTCAGACAGGTTTTCCATGCGACGTGGGGGTAGTTGCATTAACTTCTGCCCCCCCTCTATCTCAGGATAAGTACGCACTGTAAGGCACAGTGAAGGCTGAACAAGGGCATCTTTCAGCATGGTTGAATCCAGGTCTTCTGCTCCTCTTTTGTTAATCTCAACAATTTCATCACCAGCTTTAAGGCCTGCAGAACAGAAAGTAACAGGTAAGTAGCACACAGTAAGTTTCTGTTGCCCATGTACCCCAAAGACCTCAGTCTGTTTATTTATGAAGTGCTAGTAACTGTGATATCTAGACATGACATAAACATTTATGATTCCAAACATGCAGAAACTTGATGGATGCTGATTTTTGTGAAGAGATCTATCTTAGGGTTTTCTACGGCATCCCATCACCATAGTATCATTATGCTTGCTGTCACCATGTAGTACATTTACAATGTATTCACTGAGTTCCACCATACGCTCTTTGTGAGTGAAGAAATAAACTTTTCTCTACATTATTTTCAAGGAGAAAAACCATGCACAGCATTTACAGAACACAGTGCTTATAAACAGACTCAGATTTCTAAAGCTTTCCAGATTATTGGTGAAGAAAGTAGTAGTGTGACATGAATTCGAACAGGAATCTACTTTCCTGCTTCACATTGACCTAGGGGTTAGAATGAGAGAAAATGGATCATAGAAATAAGACACTAATTAATTCCTCAAGACTAAAAACATTTTTAACTTTAAAGTAAATTGTCCCAAGAAAGTCAAACTTCCAAGTTTCAAGACATCACAATTCTCATCATTAACTGGAGTCATTTAGCAGAGAGTGTTTGTTAGAAAATGTTTAGGGCAAGATTGTGGCTTTACATTAGTGGCTGCATTGCAGGGGTGGGTAGGAGGAAAAGCCATGTAACGGTGGCCCTTCTCTGCTGATCAGTGCACAGGAAGGGATGGGAGAGAGGCCCAATCATGACCCCACCCTTTCATGCAGACTAGCACCATAATTCATCTTAGATCAGGGGATCTCATCTTTTTCAATACCAGGACTCCCCTCCCTCTCCATTTAGCTGGGATGGCATCTCCCCTTTAGCAATATGGAAAGAGCAAGATGGCCACGACCCCTTGCACTGAGACCTCCTCTTCTAGATTTCTAGCACTCTGGTATTGTGTAGGAGGACTCCACCTGGACTCTGCAGAAGGCTTCTTGTGCTCCTGCCCTTCCTTGCCCACCAAAGGTGAGCCACCGTCTAGCCCTCAAACCAGTGAGTATAATACAGAAAAGGGAGAGGAGGAGGATTACTAGCCAAAAACCTTAGGGTGAGAACTAGGGAAGTACTAGGCAGGTGCGATAAGGCTCATAGCCAAATGGAAAAAAACAGGGATTTTGGGCATTTCCCCAGTTCTGCTTTTTCTAGCGTCTCCATTTCCATTTTTGCAGTAGCAAAAGCCATTTTATGACCGAAAACTGCTTTTTCCAATAGATAGACGCCGGGAAGATTTACTGGTTGGTTTGAGCATTGTGTTGTCTCTTCCCATCAACTATTCACAGCTCTTCTATCTGGCAGAACTGGAGTGTCTTGTGTTCTCATGGTGCAATCCCTGCGGTAAAAGTCATCTGAACACGTGTGACTGAATTGCTGACATTCTCTTTATAAAGCAGGATTAGCGATATCGTTTATTTAATTTTCTTCACACTGATGAGTGCTTTATTGAAAGAGGCAAGTCATTACGATGGCTAAGGAAAAGAGGCAATGTCCCTAACTGAAACAGAATTGGATTTAGGACTTTATTTTGCCTCCTCCCTGGTCCTGAAAACATATTATATCCTATCACATAAATCCTCTAACGCTAAATTTATTGCTTGGAAATTTATTCATGGTATTTATCCAATTTTTGGCATTATCTGTAGTCCCAGTGTCTAAGGGAAATAAGAATCTGGAGAGAAAACAGCTGGCTTCAACTCAGCCCAGGAAAGACAAAGGTGGTGATGATAGACAAACGGAAGCATTTTGAAGATCCAGCAGAGAATATGACCTCACTCTGAACAGGCGGTTTGTACATCCTGGCAGCCAGCTGCATGCTGGACCAGCTTTCATTATCAGGGGGGCCTCCAGGGTCAATCCAGGCTGAAGCATGTCACAGTGATCTGTTCTGGAGGTACTGAGTGCATTGATTAATGTAGCTAGGCTAGGACATTGCAATATGCTGTACCTTGGACTGGCCCTGGAGGCCACCTGAAAAAGAAAGCTAGTTCAACACACCACTGCCTGTTTGGCAGAGCAGACCGACTTGAGCACATCACAATAAATAATATTCTGCACTGGCTGCCTAGCCAGCACTGGGCTGATTTCAAGATCCTGGTCCTTATCTTCAGACCCCTAGCCAGGCTCCATCCTGTTCATCTGCAAAATCACTTCTTGCTCCACACCCGAATGTGTCAGCTGCACTTGAAAGGGGTGCTCAGGCTGACGGACAGCGGAAATTGCAGGGTCAGAGGATAAGCTGTTCTTGGTGGAAGCTGTTTAAGCACAGAGTTCTCTCTATAGGAGATCATGCAGACCCTGAGTCTTGCCATCCTGAGGGCAGGATGCAAGACTCAGCTCTTTCAGCAAGACTTCCCCTAAGAATTGCATTGTGAATCCAGCTGCATCCTCCAGGAAATAAGCAGCCCAGATTTGAATCTGCTTAAGTAAGTGGCTTTACATTTGGTGAAATGGGGAGAGATGTCAGAGGAGGCTGTGGGAGTTTTGTTCTTCTTTAGGGGGAAAAAAAAAGATACTTCTCAGGGTTCGTCTACACTGCAGCTGCGAGTGTGCTTCCCAACTCAGGTATGCAGCGCACTAAAAATAGCAGAGTAGCCAGGGGTAGCACAGGCAGCGGTTTGGGCTAGCTGCCCACATATGTACCCAGGGAGTCCAGGTGGTTTCGTATTCGGGTGGCTAGCCCAAGCTGCCGCCTGTGCTGTTTTTAGCATGGTAGCTCAAGCAAAGCTAGAGTGTGCTTGTCTACCTGAGCTGGGAAGCACACCCCAGCTGCAATGTAGATGTGCCCTAAACATATATAATTGTGCCCAGATACTGTAGTGCTGGGCACCAAATAGCTATAAGAACAATGCTGGTCCAAACGTTGCAAACTTCAAAATTTATTGATTAAAAAGGGGAAAAAATTGTCAGTAAAAATTCTTATCATTTGACCAGCCCTAATAATATTCACCACTTCCCCACCCTTCGCCATTATTTTTTGCACTTATACTTGCACTGACTCATTTGCAAAACTAACAGCAGAATAAAATGAAACAAATGAGAATAGCTTCAAAATAAATGGACCGCAAAATCATAGTCTAAACAAGAACAAAACAGGTCAAGCATTTAGCATTATTCCGTTTTCTTTTCTGCTAACTAATGCCCTGTCACAGTGTTAACACATTAATATGCGTGTGACCATAAATGCTGCAATTGAGGCTTTATAGACTCTTTCTAACCTTGGTTCTTGTCAGATGGGATGAAATATCATTATTTTATAAAGATAATCAAGTATCTTAGAATTTGTATTATGTATTTAAGGGACATCTTCACTTTGAAATATTAAACATGCTTCTCTCTGAATTTCTTTACCTATTATTACTTTGAGTACACCTAAGATTACTGTAATTGAAAGAGTAGAGAGCAAATGTTTTTTCCAATTTGTCAACTCACTATACAAAGTCCTATCATCTGTACAAACTGAGAAATATAGTCACTATTTCTCTCTCAGTTATAGGTATCTTACATTTTACTTACTACAATAGTAGGGGGAAAAAATGTTCACACAGAGGTGTGATTTTTTTTAAAGTTTACCCTGTTCTTTTGAAAAGACCAATTTCCTATTGACAACTTAGTTTAGCATTCCAAATCCAGAGTAGGCACGCACCCAGTTTTCTTTGTTTGCTTGTTTTTTGTCTAGAATCTTGCTCAAATATCTTGTAAAATTCAGGAAACTGCACTTGATATTTCCAGAATTTCCAAGCTGAAGGAGGACTGCCCAGACCTCCCTTCCCTATCCCTTTACATTTGCCTTGACTCACCACAGAATCCCAGAGCCTTTTGTTTGCCTACCTATGCAATTGGTGTAAGGAGTGTAAGGAGCCTGCATTGTGTAAGGAGAAATGTTAAAGGATTTTGCAGGAAACTTCATACACCCTGGCCAGAAAGATGGTGGCCATTCATATGGGAAGAGAGTGAGGAGTGGAAAGTGACAGGAAAAAAAAGTGGAGGATCTTCATGATTCTGAAAGAGATGTAGAGTCCTCCAAAAACACTACTGAAATCCTCTTAGCTGATTACACCCTTAGGTCAGTTCTCTGGCCTAGTCAGCTCTGTTACATCCCAGGTTCAGAGCAGCCATGCTTCCTGAAATGGCTGAAAGCAAAACTAGGGACAGTGATCTCAGCCACTGGAGTGAAGATGTGCAATTTATTTTATTTCTTCATCTCTTAGTATCAGTTCTAGAGTGGCTTTATGGACCACTTGTCTTTCTCGCTGCAGTACATGGTGATCCTGTTATGGAAGAGAAGGGATGGGCAGAAAAGCAGTTCAGAATGAAGGGTGACTGCACATATACTGTAGTCAATCCCAAATCATTCCGTAGGTTGGACGGGGAGGTAGACATATGCTAAGGCAGCAGTTCTCAACCCGCGGGCCGCATGTGGCCCAATTAGCACACAGCTGTGGCCCAGCTCAGCTGTGTGCTAAAGGCCATGGGCTCTGGGCTCCCAGCTGCCCTGCTGCATGGCGGGCTCCAGGCTCACAGCTGCGCAGCAGGATCTGGGCAGCTGGCTGCCACCTGGCCACACATAATGGGGTCCTACCCCCCAGCCCCACATGGTAGGGTCCCCACACAGCAGGGTCTGGAGGCAGGGTCCCTGCCCCCCGCCCAGCTCTCCGCTTCTGGCCCCACTCTGTGGAGGGGTCTCTGGGCAGAGGGCACTGAGCATAGGGGTTTGTGGGGAGGGGCTAGGTGGGGGGCACTGTGGTTCTCAACCTGTGGCCCAGGTAACACTTTGTGGATCGCATATGTGGCCCACCATGATAAACAGGTTACGAATCACTGTGCTAAGGTATCTGGGGCCCTTCCAAACACTTCTTTGGGACAGGGACAGGTTTTTCGTTCTGTGTTTGTACAGCACCTAACACAATGGAGTCCTTCTGGTCTATGACTGGCACTCCTAACTGCTACTGCAATACCAATAATAAAATAATAACAACAATGAGACTATATTAACTTGGGTAGAAGTCTTCCAGTATCTTTTACCTTTCTTGAAAGCCAGACCCGTCTCTTTTACACGGTTCACATAAAGCCTACGAAACCCTTCTTCTTCCACAGAAGAGAGAGAAAAGCCTACAGAAATACCAAGCGACACAATTAAAACATCTTCAGAATTAGTTATATAAAAACCACAAGAAACATCTCATGCACAATATCTGAGGGCACTCTTTTCCACAATAAGCAAAATCCTTGATAAAGCAGTACCTGATCCTATTGTGAGCATCCTTTACTCATGCAAGTAGTTCCATAGCAGTATTCAAGAAGTCTACTCATGAGTAAGGATTATCCATGTGAGTAATGGGCTTTTCAGAATTGGGGCCCAATTTTTCAGGGAGTGAGGGGTAGTATTAAAGCTTTAAAAAACTGAAAAGGAAAATTACTAAATAAAAAAATTACTTAAAAAGCTGAATTGAATTTTTGCATTTACATAAATCATTCAAGTTTTATTTGGGGAAACCACAGCTGTAAATTGTTGGAATGCACTTAAAACTGTCTTGCCACAATTGGTCACTTCAAGAAGTTGGATATTTGCAGACAAAATGTATATAAAGTTATGGTTTGTGTCCCAAACCAACAAAGGCCAGGAAATTCAGAGTTATGGCTGATACTCACACAAGGCATAATAGTGCCTGTTCAAGCAGAATGTCAGCTTTTACTTTTTGAATTTCCTGGGCTGGGCTGGTTTGTAAAATGCTACCTTTTTTTCTTTTCTCAGCTGCTGCTGGCATGACTTGTTATTCACCAAGTTCTAGTGCACACTTTTATGGCTAAGTTATAAACCTGCAAACCAGAGATTTATAATGGAAATACTGACACAGACTTAATTTTAAGAGTGCAAATTACACAACTATATTTGATATTGGTGATTTTCTTTATCCATTACTTGGATTTCATATAATGTCAGCTCTAATGTGTGTATAAAATAAAAAGTATTTTATTAAATTTGTTTTATTTATTTACTATTGAGACTTACCTAAAAAAGGACATTTGCTTTTCTGAAACTTCATGGCACCCTAGATGTGTATTATTCTTTTTTTCAAAGAAAACTTTTATGAATCGCTAGGGAGAGATGCTTGTTTGATATGCAATCAGCCAAGAGGAAGCAGGTGTACTGGGAGCCTATTCTGACTCTGACTCCCTTCAAATTGATGTTTATGGATGGCAAGTTATTCTTTCATTCATCATTAAAAAAATAGGGGCCAGCCCACAGGCCTGTGGCATATGGCCATTTATCACTGAACAGCCAATTAGGAGAGCAGAAGCTGGGCTCCTCAACTTGGAATATAAATGGAATCTGTCAAGCTCACTTCATGCACCAAGGTTAGTGGGGAGAGAAATTCTGAATAAACTGAAGAACGGCCAGGAAAAAAGAAATGGTAAATATGGGCTTGTCCTCACTGCAGAGTTAATTCAAGTCCCATCCAGTCACAAAACCCCTTAACTCAAGTGTGGCAGTGCATTTAACAAAGTGAACTGACCCATCGAGGCTACAGCACGAGTTAGCAGAACACACCAGCTGCTACTCCAATCACTCTGTGCAGCTCAAGTGTTATTTTGCAACGTGTGCTCAAGCTAGACCAACTCCAGAGGCATTAACTCAAGTGTAGATCAGCCAACACTGCAGTGAACACATAGCCTATAACATGGCTCTTGAAAGATGGGACCAAGACATTGATGAGATACTTGTGAGCTGTTTATGAGCTATAGTGTCCCCTTCCAGAGAGAACCCGGTGCAAGTGGACAAGTTCAGCTGGAAACTCTGCAGTTTACTGTAGGCCATCACTACACTACAAAATTACGCCGACCAAACTTATGTCGCATACAGCCACCGCAGTTATTAAATCGCTTGTGTGTGTGCATGCTTGGCTCCTTGTGTCGATGGTGCACGTCCTTACCAGGAGCACTTGTATCGACCGTATTGTCAGTGTGGGATGGCTTCTGAAAGCTAGTAATAATCAAAGTAAGCAACGCAGTGTCTACACTGACACTGTCAACTTAATTACATTGACCGTAACGCTACGCTGCTCAGGGTGGTGGTATTACTAAATCGGCATAGAGAGGCGTTGGCGGGAGCCAAATGTAAGGGAAGACACTTCCACAGCTAGGTCGACGCAAGGCAGCTTACATTGACCTGTGTAGTGTAGACCAGGCCTTAGTAGAGTTTCTCTCAACCATTTTGCTTGGGGAGCTGGGTTTGTCTGCCTTGAGTTGCTTTACCTTAGCGAAGTCATTTAACCTCTCTGCCTTTGATTCTCCAGCTGTTCCATGAAGATAGGAACACTTTCCTACCTTACAAAGGCACTGTCAGGATTAATTAACAGTTTGTAAGAAGATTAAAAGTGTACAAGAATTATTATGATGATTATAGCTGGAATTCAAGCAATAGCAACAGTTAATGTTGCCTACAATTTCAGTAATGACAACACTTTTTAAATAACACTTTCTCAAGCAGGCTGCACAAGGCACATGGAATTTTGGTACATAGTGTTAAAATCTTAAAAATGTGCCGTAAGTTTGCTTTGGATTGAATGAAGCACAGTAGTGAAAGCACAGGATAATTTGGAAGCAGTCTTTTACAGAGCACACTGAAGGTGGTAGGAGCACTGCCTCATTCAATACAATAATTTAAGATCCTGCAAAGGTGCATTCTATTGCTATCTAACTAACATAGGCTCCAATTCAGGAAAGCATCCCTATTCATGGAAGCACTTATACAAGTGCTTATATGCTTTCCTGATTTGGGGCTACAGTGTTGCCACACTACGGATTTGTTTTAATTATTATGGTTTTTAAAAAACTAGGAAATTCAAAAAATATCTCTGTTAAGACAGCAAAGTTTAGGGTGCCAATGCTATAAAGGCTTACACACATGCTTAGTTTTTTTTTCATATTGCGAGAGGTCAGTAGGACTACTCACTGCATGTAAACTTAAGCACATGATCTTGGTAGGACTGTAAAAGTCAGCACGTTGTTAAAATTGCAACAGTTATGTTAATCTACATAAAGGCAACGTCAAGCATTAAAAATTCAAATGCACTTGCAACCTTAACTCTTGTCTCTCGTATGAATGCATTTCAATATAGGCTTAATATTACAACATCACTTAATATTATTTTTACAGGACCCAGGCCTTATTCAGAGCCCGATCCTGCTCCCATTAAAGTCAAAAGGAGTTTTGCTATTTCTTTCAATGAGTGCAGTAAGCATTATGAGGGGTATTAATTGTGTGCAGGATCAGGCCCACCCATAAGACACATTTCCTGCCTCAAACAGCTCAACCGATCATTTTATTTTACAATCGTTTGTTTTCATTGTTTTCCCCTTTTTTACGCTCCTGCCACTAAATAAACCCAAAAGGGAATAAAGACAAGCCCTTAACTATTGAAGTCTTCCCAGACGCAACATAATTATTGAACCTGGGGTCATAATTGTGCTAGTTAATATGTACGTCTTAAATCTTTAGTTTTCAAATAGCCAGTATCGCAGCTTTGCACCAGAGCCCAACATTCAAAATGGCCTACAGCTGTATAATAATCAGTTTTGGGATTCAAAATTATTCTATTCATTAAAACAGAATATTTGGATAAACATTAAAAGATGCGGATTGGCTGCCCGGGGGGTAGACTGCAAAAGAAATGTAAAAATACTGTAATTGCCTGACCAAAGGGCAATCTTGCCAATCTAAAGGCTTGTAATTTTGAATACTAAAAAGCTGAAAAAACAGATAAGACAACAGAGATTTTGCTAAAATGATATACAGAGTATTTCCCCCCTCTTTATAAATGTGTTAATATTATGGGGCATATTCCGGCTTCAGAGATGCACTGAGCTTCTATAGACTTCACTGGATGCCAAACTCGTGTATTCAAAGCCCACCTATGCTGGACAAGATTGTGACCTGTCTCGGGTGCTTGGGCAGGGAAGTAAAGGGGCACAAGGGGCTTCCTTACTTCTCTGAGATGATTACCCATGCTGTGGGTAGCACCATATAGGGGAGTGCATCCTCTGAAGGGCCACTGTATAACCCCCACACATGGGCAAGGAAGAGACTGGAGGAAGCCAGAAATGAGGGGGACAAGGGTCCATTCCCCTCGGTCCCAATGAATTGGGGGACATGAGATACATCATGCATAGAGATGGTGCTGGATACTTTCCACTTGGAGCAGCAGGTTAACCAGGAGGTAATCTGTGACTCTGGGCTAACGTTAATGAGCACTAGGGAACTTTTAGTGCACACCAGCAAGGTTCACATGGGCCAGTTAGTTTGCAACACATTGGTGTGCATTGGAATGTGCATCCCACCGGAGTGTACTACCACCCTCTGTAGGCAAGCCCAGAGTCACAATCTGCTTCCCCATCTGCTCCTGCAGCAGTGCAACAACACACTGTCATTTGAGACTTACTGCAAAGCCACAATTTATCTTATAATACAAACATTAACATAACACATGGCTATTGGGAGAGGGGAGTTCTGCTCTACAAGGTTCTGTTTTTCACCATTCCCGCTGACAAAAGCACTCCGTGGTTCCATATCTCTGTGCCATATTCTTAATCACAAGGATTTTGCACAGTATGTTCTGAGAAGCTACACAAACAAGAAAACATTAACTTTCATGAGCGATCTGCACATGCTACAGTTCATGTGCCAGTGTGGACTTTGCATTCAGTTTGTTAAACCAAAAAAAAAAAAAATCCATCCAGCTCCAATCTGGCTTTTCATGGTTTCTCTTGCTCTGGATGACACAGGAGTCAGAGGTGCTTTTTTTATTTTGCTCAACAGTCCCTTAAGGTATTTTAATGAATTGTAAATAAGAGCGTGTTTACACCAGGATTTGATAGGAAAAACAAAAACAAATCAGGAAGAAAACTTACCATAAAAATCAGAGGCTGTATCGGACTTCTCAATCTGAATGTGCTGTGTAATTTTTTGACAGATTTCAATTTCTTTGTATAACTGAACAGACAAAATATTTAAAAAAATCCATTATCACAAAAGGTTGTACTGTTTGTCACCATTCTGAGTAGATCTTTCTTTTTAATTAAAGGGGCAGAAGGGGAACCATGATCATTTATTTACTGCAGCCTTCCCTACACCTGTAAAATGTATTGCTGGAGCCATTGTGCTTTATTTTTAGAAACACTGGATTGTGATTAAAAGAGAGAAATGTGATATTTCTAGCACTGCCTGCATGCAAGTGGTTATATGCCAATGTCCATCCACCAGTAAAGTTCTGAGTGCACAAGGACTGCAGGGTTTGGTCCCAGGTATTCCTATTTAATAGTCTGGGAAAATTCAGGGTGTGTAAGAATTCTGATTTAAAAATAGATTTAAATCATTATTTGTATTGAGACTATTTTTTAAATTTTATATCCGATTTTTTATTTACCTGTTGCCCATTCTTTACTTCTTCCCTATTTTATAGCCTGAAATTGCTGAAGTGGATTTATTTTATTTTATTTATTTCCTAATTGCTAGTAGAATATCACATCTGACAGAGAGATTTCTCTACTACAAAGTTTCACACTTAACATGCTCATCTAGGTCAGCAAGTCCAGTCTCTTCCTATCACAGGCAACCCCATCATATCTTCACATTTATAAATTTATCAAGCTCTATCTTAAAATTAGTTAGGTATTATTATTATTATTAACATCCTTACTGGGGGAACACCATAAACTCAAAACACAAAAACGATTATATGTGCAAGGAACACCACCTTCTGGTATATCAAATTTCCACAAGTAAACAAAACTGAAATGGCTTCAACCAGGCTATACTCCACCTACTAGGGATTGCAACTTGAACTCAATGGGACTTGTGCTTTTAAATCAGTCAGATGCCTTTCTTTCTTTCTTTCTTTCTTTGTCTATGTCACGTATATCCCCCACATCCTATTACCATAGGGTCTGAGCATGTCATGGTCTTTAATGTATTTATCTGGACAACACCCCTGTGAGGCAGGGCAGTGCTATTATTCCCATTTTACAGATGGGGAACTGAGGCACAGAGAGGCTAAGGGCCAGATTTACAAAGGAATTTGGATATCTCAAAATGCAGCTTGGTGCCTAATGGGATTTTCAAAACCAAGTAGGCAGCTCACTGCCATTGAAATCAGCTTTTGACATTCCGACTAGGTCCCTAAAAACCTTTGTAAAATCTGGCCCTATAAGTGACTTAGCCAAGGTAACTCAGGCTGTCTGTGGCAGAGTAGGGAATTGCACCCGGGTCCTCCAGGTCCTAGGCCTAACCACTGGAACATCGTTTCTCTCTTTCAAGACATCCCACCATCAGATGCCTAAATGCAGGATTAGCAGCCTAACTGTAAGCTCCTGTATTTGTAAATGTTGGCCTGTGTGTAGAAAAACATTCACAATAAGTTTGTGAACAGATCAACTGTCTAAATAGCTACATTGTTAATGCTGATGCAAATCTGTATGGGAGTGACTAAGGTTTTATGCACTAAGTATTTTTAATAAAAATACAATTTTAGCCCCTTGGTGCTATAAATGTTTAAGCACAGAGACCAGGAGTTCTCAACCTTTTTCTTACTGAGTCCCCTCCCCCCCCCCCCGCTATAAAAACACCAGGCCGAGCGGGGGCTGGGGGGAAAGGACTTGGGGCTCTATGCTGGCGTGGGGTAGGGGGATGACCTTGGGCATAGGCATAGTTTTACTTCTATTGGGAGGCGGGAGGGAGAGCTGGCGGGGCTTGAGCCAGCTCCGCACAGCCGGGTCCAGGGAGGGAGCACCACCTCCAACCTCTGACTCACTCAGGAGGCCATGCAGCCTGTCTGGGCTGTGGGGGGGCACAACCAAAAATTATGACTCCAAGAGGGGATTCAGTTCAAAAAGTCTGAACATTGCTCAGGGTGCAGGGACGGGGGTAGCTGGGGCTGTATGAAGTGAGGAGAGTAGCTCAGGGTGCAGGAAGGGGGTAGCTAGGGGCTGTGTACGGGTGGGGAACAGAGCTCCCAGTGTGGCTCCCAGCTTCGGCGGGGGGGGGGCGGGGGGCCTGGGGCTCCAGGCTTCAGCCCCCCCAGCTAGTCCTGGCTTGCGGGGGGAGGTTTGCCAGTTTCAGATCCACCACTCCGGGCTTCGGGGGCTTGAGAGGGTGCTGGCATCAGTCCCACGCCGCTCCCAGCTTGGGGTGGGGGACCACCGGCTTCACCCCTGTGCTGCTCCTGGCTGGGGGGGGGGGCACCAGCTTCAGGCCTTCCTCCTGGGTTTGGGGCAGCGGGGCCACCAGCTTTAGCCCTGCACTGCTCCTGGCTCAGCACTGGGACTCGGGGCACTGGGTTTCGGCCGCAGGGCTCCGCGCCCCCCCGAAAGGGCTTGCAGCCCTCCGGTTGAGAACCGCTGACATAGAATCATATGATAGAATCACATGCTGAACTTTAAGTATAGCTATGTATCTGGTTAAATACTTGTAGGATCTGAGCCTTAATTTTCAATATTTTGATTTTTGCCTATGGCAGTTTTTAAAAAATTCAAATAAGAGTCCCTACTAGGAGTGGTGTTTGTTTGTTTGTTTGTTTGAAAAAGAAGCAGAAGCAGCATTTACAATCTTGTTCATTATCATCTAAAGCTGCAATAGTAGAAAAATTCAAATTAGTTTTACAAAGCCTCAACCTGATTTAAATCAAAGGTTTTAAAAAAAGTTATTTAAATCATTATGTAAATAACCTTCATTGAAATGGTGCCACTCTAGAAACAAATTTACTACAGATTCCTTAATTGGGATATTTTCACAACATAACGTGTTTCTAGTCCCTTTCCTCAATATGAACTGTGCCATCTAAACCAAAGAGGAAGTCCTGAGCAGCATAAAAGGCCAGAAACAAAGTGCGACTGGCATGGGTCTATGTGGGGGTAGGGAAGGCTGCACAGAAAATACTCATGTGAACGCTACACTGTCTGCAGACTACAGAGTACTGCTCCATAGCAACTTTCTCAGCAAGGTGTTTCTAAAGACATGGAACCAGGCCCTCAGCTGATGTAAACTGTCATAGTTCCATTAACTTCAACTCAGCGCCGATGAATTACACACACTGAGGATCTGGCCCATAGAGAGGAGGTGGGGCTTGCTATGGGTTCATGGGGCTCAGGCTGAAAAATTGCGGGGTAGACATTCAGGCTTGGACTGGAGCCTAAGCTCTGGAACCCCTCCTCCCTCGCAGGGTCCCACAACTCAGGCTCCAGACCAAACCCAAACCTCTAGACAGCAATTTTTAGCCCTGCAGTCCGAGCCCAGTGAGCCTGAGGCAGCTGACTTGGGCCGGCCGTGGCTGAGCCGTAGGTCTTTTATCCCGCTGTAGTGTCCCCTCACGGACTAAATAGGAGCCCAGAGTTGTCATGCTTCAATGGATGAGCACAAGCAGAGGGGCATCTTAAAGAAGAGATTTAATAATCTACATTTTTATACTGCAGTCAGTTCAAGAGCCTCTTACAAGATTTGTTATACTCTCTTGTAATACCATGAACAACAGCATGGCACCATTTCATTATCCGGCAAGCCCATCTCCAACTCTAGGTGGCAGTGTTTCCTCTTTGTTCCAGTCAGATTCCCCCTCAGCTCCCAATGTTTCCAAAAGATCAAGGCATTGCCATCTCCAGTAGCTTTTTTAACTCTTCTCAAGCCTTTCATGTTCTTGCACAGATGCCATTTTCCTCTAAAGCTTTGATTCTCTCCCCTCCGTCCCCGCCCCTTCCTGAAACTCCTGATGCCTTCTCCCTCGCTCCAACCCAACGCTCAGCCCTTTACTACACAGTCCCTTGTTTCCCCAATTAAAGTCATGCATTACTTTACAGAACAGTAACACCTAAATCAGATGGAAAGGAAAGCAGTTTAGCATGTCAGATTCCAGCCAAAAGAAACCTGACATGCTTATTTGCTCTAAAAAGCACTAAAAGCACTAAAAACAAATACAAAATAAAAAGCAACTATCCTGTAGCACAGCTAACACTAAAAAATAACCCTCAGAGTTACAAGCCTCCATGGGCTTTTTAAAAAAAAATGTTTGAATATAATTACTTCATTTACATTATAAAATAATGTTTTTGAAAATATAGATTTCAAATCTCTAATTTTGATTGAAAAATCACCTAGTTTATGATGAAAGAAAAGAGAACATCTTAGCTGCCTCAGAAATTCTATTAAACTTTTTCTAAATGAATAGATTTTAAAAGCTGTTGATTAGAAGGAAAGTAGAGAGTTAGGCAACATTAATATTAAATAACCCTGTAAATAGCTATTTGAGAGACTACAAAACTGAAGGCATTAGTCAATTTTATTATAAGTTAATTGCAAGAGGATCTCTTCAAGAAACACCTAAATAAAAATAATCACAAAGATTTTCTAGTAAGCATACACATGTACAATACGACACGTGCACTGCTGTCCTTCTGGTGATAGGTTAGGTCCTGGTCCTTCAGACACTTACATGCATTGTGAACTTTAAGCATGTGAATAGTCCCACTGATTTCAAATTAAGATTTTAAAGTTAAGCACTATGCATAAGTGCTGCAGGATCACGGCTTTATTTTTCATAGGATGTTGGATGGCTACATCAGCCCTATGCTACCCTGGCGCTGGGGGAATTTCCCAGAAGGCTGTTTTGATCCCTCTAAGCAGTGAAAAGGCCAGGATCCGGCTCCTTAACATTTGAGTTTCCTGACTTTTGAGTGCTTAATTTCTCAGTTCTAACATGCCATTAATGCTATTTCCCTTCATTTAATTTCTCTATTATGTTTTATGGGTGATAATGGTGGTGGAGGTTGAGGGTGTTGTTCCATCCCAACACATCCTTAAGTAAGGTACCATTAACAGAGGCATCCTGAACTGACGAGGGTGTGGGGTTTTTTTAACTGATTTTTTTACTTCAGCAGTTTTTGAGATATGCAAATTCAAATATTCCAATTGAAACATAGGAGGAAAGCAATTTGATACCATTTGAGTTACTCCAGAGCCTTTTTACCTCAAACTCCACCCCCGCCCAACAGGGGGGGAAAAATCATCTTTGAGCAGTGTCTAAGTATGGAATGTTTTGACACAAAAGAGATTTCTTTGAGCAAACTGAAAATTAGGAACGTTAGAAAAAAGGGGGATTAGAGTGGAAGTTCAAATTCAACATTAAATATAGTGGTTACCACCAGTGACTGTGATTTTATTACATACACAGTGAGTACAAATCCACTCCGTCTACAAGAGGAAATACTTGTTAAGATTATTTTATAGGATGCAAATAAGGTCGTTTATATGGTGTGGCTGTTTGCTATGGACTGCAAGGCACTGTAACTACAAGGTGATTTTTGGTCTACAAAATCAAAAAGCCTAACTCCATGCACTACAAATATTAGATAATTGCATCTGGATTTAAAATTGCCTTGATTAATGCAAGTGAATAGCTAATAGTGCCCTGTAAACTAAAGTATCATTTAACACTGTTCGGCAATTAGCATTACCAATTCATAGATGTCCTCTTCTGGCTTTGGTACATAAAATTGCATCTGGTTTTCTATCAGGAACTTAAGACGTAGAAAGTGAGCTGAATGATCCAGCTGATATGTCTGCAACAAACAGAGGAGACACTTTAAGAGAGAAAAGACAATGACTACAGTTATATACAATAAAACAAAACCACACATGTTTAAGGAGAAATAGATGATGACACCAGGGGAAAAAAAAGTTCTCTATCATAAGAGGTGTGAAAATTTTGTAACCTAAACAGAATCTGAAAGTTTCTTTCTCCTCCCCTTCCAAATAAGAAATTTTCACCTAACTGCTTATCGGTATTTCATAAGTAATGCTATTACTCTAAGTACCACCTTCAATTTTGCTTATTTGCAGTTCTATCCTCACCCACTCCATATTATTATAGAGATGTTGAGCACAGTATTATTAATGCAAAGGAATTAGACCATACTTCCTGTATGCAAGTACATTTAAAAAAAAAGAAGAAGAAAATATATTCTGGCTAACAAAGAGAAAGATACAACATGAAAGTAGTTTCTTTCTGAATCTTTGCATAGTTTAACATTGAGGCATTCTGTGATAAGCCTGCAAGCAAGATTATGCATAAAATATCCACCTCAGTACTTTAGACTGTAAACAGCACATAGTATGCTAGCTTAAAAAAGCATGAGGATGACTCTAGAGATGCACACTGGATTACTTCCCAGTGGAAACACCCTATGTCACTTTAAAGACGTTATGGTTAGCTGCGGGTATGGCATTTGACCTGGGAGATGGTAATGACCTTTCCTCTGCACAGTTAATAACCTTAAATCAAACCGAGGTTAACTCAGTGTGTAATCAAAATGCATTAGGGCAATGACAAATACAAAGGATGCATTCAAAAGTTACTTTGCAAAGTTAATAAGCTGTTGACTAGCACCAGATGTGATTCACAAATATAAGAGGCAAGTACATCCCTCACTGTTATTTGTGGAGCCTATTATTCACTGTTTGTATTCAGAAAATAGTCACAAATCCCAAAAGTTTCCCAGACATTAGTACAATGATTGATCTGAAAATTTGTACAGGAATTGCATAATTTGCTATTTGTTATTCTAGTGCTGTAAAAATTTCAGCTACCCAATCACAAAGTAGAAGCAACACTCTAGGACTTAGGTGAAGAACCACACATCATACATAATGAATAATGCACAGCAAATAGCTATTGTGAACAATTTAAATATCAGCCTATGGGTTTTTTTCATTTATGGACTCTGCAGTGAATATCTAGAACCCGGAAAGATTCACACACTGAAAAAGGACCCCATTTGAAACAAATATTATTCACAACTAATTAAATCAGACTTTACATCTAAATCTGTCTAATTTAAACAGATGAAATTATCACTACAGAAAACTGAGTATCAAATCAGACAACCATTGTAATTTAGACAATATATCAGTTAATTAAAAACAATTTGAAGTTTACCACAAAATAAAAATAGCGAAATAAGACATCCTCATTCTACCAAAACTTTTGTGAGATCAGCATTTATCAGTTTGCCATTTTATTTGCAGCCTATTTATACTACCACACACACACACACACACACACACACACACACACACACGAGAGCTAGTTGGTTTAGTTTTAATTGTGA